CCAAACTGAGTCGCGTGGGAGAGATGACTTGGTTTTACTTAAGTATATGAGCAATTAACTCTTGCAAGTCATTCTTGAATTGTTCGTTGAGTGATGCTGGGAATTATGTTGCGTTTCGCTTGAAGTCCCCCAACAGAAGGAGGTGACTCTGTCGTCGTGTCAACACTCGTTTCATCGCAGAAGCTAGGCACTGATCCATTTTCAAGTTGGCCATCGGAGGGCGGTAACCTATTGCTGGTAAAAGTATATCACAATGCCATAGGTGTATAAGACACCAAAGGGCTTCGACGACTTGCGTTTCCGGGCCGTCGAGGATCTCGTTATGCAAATCGGGACGATAATACAGGAGCACTTCGTTTTCCCTGCTACGTTGATCATTTGGTATGGGTTATGCCGGGTAGAGCAACTGCAGCAGCGGTGATCTCCGTGTCCAGCCAGGTTTCGGTCGTTATAACTACGTCCAAAGGCATGAAGAACTGACGAACACAATGTTCGGTTAGTTTGCTGAGTAGATGTTGTGCGGTGGTGTACAAACAGGGGAGTGCATCAGTGATTAGAAGCCGGTTTTTAAATGCAGATTCCCTTTGAGGGTCTATGCCGACCGTCGAGGGGTCGGCTACCGGTCGTATTTTCGTATGACTTCTGGCGCAAGCCATCGGAGCATCCCCGGTTGTTGTGCAGAGCCCACGGCGCCGAGAGGAAGATGACCACCCAGCCCTCCTTTAGCCGCCGGCTTGTTTTGCCACTGTCCCCGTTCTGAGCTGCATGGTGACGGGGTTGTACATGTGAAATGATTGCTCAGTGTTATTTTCTTTAGTTGTGGCAGGGTGTCTATCGCCTTGTATACTACTTATTTCGGATGGCAGCATATTAAGCAATTTGTGTTACATTTCGAGCAATTGTTCTGCCGTGATTTTGGATTGCAATGTTGCTTTCACCAATCGGGGATCACACCCCTTTAGTTAGATGAGAGCGGTGACTTGGATGTTAAAGTAGCGTTAAGGTTTTTGAGCGAGAGCACTTTACGGATGTAAGGTCATTCAGTCCAGAGATGCACTTTGGCCTCTTGCTCGCTTAATGTCGGAGCTCGGGGGCATGGTGGAAATGGATTGATTTCGGGTCTGTTCGTTTAAAGAAGTCATCCGGATTTTGCTTGTGCTTCTGAGATTCGCTTTATGGAACCCCCCCCCCCCTGGAGGATCTCAGCAGTGCATATGGTGATACGGAGACCTGCGACTGACAAGAGAACTGCTTCTGCATCATTACTTGACTGACGTAACTGCGGTTTACCGTGGTGCGTGGAGTTTGGATGACAGACATGACGTACCATACTGGTTAGCTTAGCTTGGCCCCTATTATTTGACACAGGGAGTTCCAATAATTTCCGTCGTCTAACTTACGTTTTTTGGACTTTGCCACGGATACAGTCAGTTTGGAGCATATAACGGTCAGAGCATTTTGATTTTGTCTCATGTCCTCTTTTCTCGAGGGCCGTGTGGCTACTTCCTGTAGCTGGACGGGTGACGTCATCTTGAGTCTCGTGGGGGTATTGGTAGTATTAAGCGAACATGCATTGACGGCTGGCGCGATTAAGTTGCGAGGTGCATCTGTCGATTAGGCAACAAAAACGGACGCGTAAGTTGTCAGTCCTCTTACAGTGTACGACGTGCTGCACGGCCTTGATGAAGAAGGTGTGACAGACGCAGCTTTCTGAGCAGCTCTAATGTTATAGTGGCTAAATCATTGCTCTGAAGTTTGGTCTAGCTTCACTGTTAGATATTGAGGTTGGACGTTGAACACCGAATTAGTGGCATCGCTAGGCCTGGTTCCTAGGATACAGCTCTTACGATGGCTGCTTGCTCTATCATCTTTGTCAGTCTATCACAATTCTCTGTCCACATGACTATGGATCTGCCGAGTAGAATAGCAGCACATTCAGTGCAGAACCAGAAGGAAATAATTGTAATGTGAGGTTTCCTTATATTGCGGACCCTGAAAGTAGCTCATTTAGTAGGAAATTTTGCACGGCAATTTGTGCATTTTGCACTAAACTGCACAAGTTTACCACAGCATTTTGAGCAAAAAGTAACCTACAAATCTAAAGATTTTTGCCCAGCTTTCATTAGGCAAACAGCACGTCCATTTTGCGGATGTCTTATCCGATTCGTACCGGATTATTTTCCTGTGCGAAACCAGGCCAAATATGGAAGTTGATACTCACCAGCTGCAACTTAACTTTGTGGACATTATACTGATACTTATTCAATACCTTGGTCACATGAAATAAATTGGTATTGTTTAGTATCCGGAGGAGAATGTATGAGATTTGGGCGACTTGTCCTGCAATAACCACCTTTTATATCTCTTCGTAACTGTTGTTTATGTGACTGCTTGAGGAGAAAATAGACTGTGAAGTCACATTTAATTTTTTCAGTGGTCGACAACGGGTAATTGATGCAGCGTCTATGCTTTGGGGTGAGTAGCTAGACCAAGGTTTTATCAAGGGGTGTCAGTTCGGAAACGCCACAATACACGAACAATTTATCACAAATTTGCACTTAACAGGCAGCGATTGCAGGTCAGGGACGTAAGCAAAAGATTATCAGTATGTGGGCAAAAACCTCTGTTCATATTATACATAGTCAAGGAAGACAATGCTTCTAAGTGGACACAGTGCTGATTGAAATTGCGTAGGTAGTCAACTCACATAGCTAGCTTTAAGAGAACATAAATAATGGGATAACTGAAAAATCCTCAGGGTTTTTCAAAAACTTTCCAAAGTGACCGAAAAAATGTACAGTTAATTGCAGCTTGCTAGTTTTAACCATTGCTGGCTTAACTCACTGAGCATAAGGGAAAAAACCATACTTTGCGACTGCATCGTTGTCCAGACGGAGAACCCTGATTTTCATCGGGATAATGTTTTGGTGAAATAGCCAAATACTACTTGGATTTTCACTTGCACATTATACCCTGATGTACAAGATATATCTATTGACGTCTATCTAGCTGACTCAGAGATGTCGCAATTAAGAGTACTTGTAATCACTCTTATGAAAATGACAAACAGAATAAAAAAGAGCATATTGTGTTTGTATTTGACATTAAATAGCAAATACATAGTTACAAACAGAGGTGTTTAGCAATTACATAAACTTATATTCCGCCAATGCACTCGAACGATTCGTGGCCAACGAGTGGCCAAGTTAGATGCCCTGGTATCCTAAGTTGAACAAAGTTCGGCCAAGTATGGGTTAGTATTGCGCTAGAGATTTTGAAAATCCATTTCAGCGTGGAACGGAAGGTAGTTGCAACATGAGATACATTTTAGTATGTGCTAAGGGTACGATGGAGAATGATTGGTGACTGTTTAACTACAATAGTTTGTGTCATTACGGCAGCATAGAGCACAAACATCAGTTACAGAGAGCGCTTCAACCGTTAATTCAGTGTACACAACCCGGTCACTTACGCGGAGAAAATAGTAGAATAGCGCAACAAATGCTCACCCATATCTCAAAAGATCGGTTATGGCTAATATACCACAATTATCATGTTACCGAGAGTTTAAAGTATGAATTACAAGCACAGGTCTACCGTGACAAAATTAGCGTTAAAATGTGTATTTTAGGCAACGGTATACTTGCTGTACAATACATGTTAACGTAATCTAAGCAAGTAGCTAGAGGAAACCCATGTTTGCTCTCCGGGTTTTAGAGCACCCGTCGTGGGTCTTGGATTGCTGCATGCAATCACAGTTGTGGCCTCAGTTAACTTTTAAGTTAGTCTCTGCCAAAACTATCAGTGGAGCCATCACCGAAGTGGAGGGTTTGGGTGTAGCTCTCTCCCATCCCTGCACTCCATAGCCGACGGTTTGGTTCTGGTTTGGACTTATCAGATAGAGATAGCCGAGCGGGGAGTGCAAGTCGACGCAGGACGGTTGGCGACCATCGTCGTACTCACCAAGTCGTTGAATTCCGCGAACAATGCTCCGAAACCCGAAAAGCATATTCGAACGGTAGTATCAAGCGCTTCTCGCGGAGCTAAATGGCCCAGTGATCGTGGCGATAGGCGCTTAGCACAATGCTCCGATTTCCGCTCTCTACTCCTCTATCTTTAGCTGATGAGTTCAAACCAGGACGGAACCATCGGCGTTGGAGCGCAGGCACGTGAGAGAGCCGCACTGCAACCGCTTGTTTGCTTAACTGCTTGGCCAATAACGGCCAGACTCTTAACCTGAATGACCAATTGTCTATCATGCACTGGTGTTGCCAAGGTCTTGTTTACTTGTGACTTACAACATACCTATCTGTTAGCACATCAAAACTTACTTGCGCATCAGAGTAAGAGGCTGTCTGTCATTCTTGGTACATAGTTAATCAGTGATGCCAAATGTCTAATGGATGTATAAACAAATTTCAGCTGAGTCATGTACCGGCAATCAATCATAACCGTAGTTGTTTATCACATGTATAGGCAAGCTAGCTGGATATCGAAATTGTACAAATTGGTCATGATGAAATATATCATGCTTATGAGATCATTAGGAAAACACAAGTGCCTCGTTCATAACATTTTACTTCATTACGATCTCGGTTCCGTTGGTAAAAGCAGTTAGACGGTCTCGCAGAATAAGGGCTGGTTGTAGCATCAAGGCGATGCTTGAAAATACGCTAGATTAAGGCTTGCGCCTTACAGGCTTTTATTGTTGATTATACTCTGCGAGCAGTGTAAAAGCGTTTGATGGTTGCTTTGCTTATGGGTTGCGTGCACATTAATCTTAAACGCAAGCCTGGGATGCATATTACGGTTACTTTGCATAATGCTACATTTGCCTATGAGGCATAAAATTGACTGTAAATTTGTTCACTTAATGCTGAGAATTATGTTGCAAATACCGGTAAAGTGGTACAGTTTGCCCCTAATATATCATAGTTTGACATGTCCGCCTTTTGCACTTTTTAACTTCGATTTCAGGATTCGTTTTTAAGTGGCCTGCAATGAAAGACTGCGAATATACGGCGGAATTGAAGGTAACCAGTTTTTCAAAGAATAAGTCTGTTAAACCATAATTTACCATTGAGTGTAGTACGAATTAGAAATTCGTAGTAAATGCCATTTTCTACTTTCACCTGATGACTTTATCTAGTCATCAAGCATTAACAATTGAAAAGAGGAAATGTATAACTTTAAGGATATGTTCGCTCTTTGAAAACTGCTTAGTACATTCTATTTCTCATTCGTTTATGTTATTCTGGAATAGTAACAAAATAGCTTATTATTGTTAGGTGTTGCAGAACTGCTGAGTTATACAACTTTATAAGCGCTGAGTGCGCTAATCAAAAAGTAGCATTTGGCACATTTTACTTGGCAGTTTTGGTCATAACATCTAGGCTAATAAGCTCGGCGAGCAGTGTATGATAAAGCGGTTAGAATTTGAGCGCGCTGTACTGAATACGCTGTGATACGGAAATTGCCATGCTATTAATACAGCCCGCATCTTTTAATCTCTATGTACTAGTACTAATTAACTGTCCAGTAATATGCCGCAAATGTGATCGTTTCGTTAGATACAAGAAGTGCTCCCAGGCTTCAAAGTTAATGTTAAAAGGACGGAAGACTGGATAAATAATGTCATTTCAATTGAAATCCGTGAACTCCATACGGCACAATGGGGATTCCCGGAATTACAAGTGGAGGCGCTAAACAAACTGGAGTACCTTCTACAGTTGCCGTTCGTGAGCGAAGTAGAAGTTACCGAAATTCACTGGCCCAATTTGGAAAGTAAGTTAGCTGTGGTTGCTGTATGCCCAGTAGAATTTTACTGCTATTTAACGACATTTATATGGATACGTATTAGGAAGTTTGCTTTGTCTCTCATTTTAAACTCAGAAAGACACCAGTTATGTTTTAGACAATGAGTAGATCAAAAAGTGGACTATTTCTGCAATGAAAAATGTGACACGTTAACGGACATAAACCGCTAGTCACCAATGGAGATTGTCATTGATCTCATAAACAAATCTCTAAAGAAATATCTGCAATCCTAGATAAGCTATACATATCGTTTGACTTCTTGATTTTTTCGATTGACAAGACGTCAGAAAATCTCACGGAATCCCTGTTCAAAAGTGCTGTTTTATGCGATTTGATCGACTTAGGTAAATGACGTACACAAAGCTGATTTTCGCACCAATACATTTAAATGCATTACGAACTCTTTAATTCAGCTTTACCTCATGAAGGGCTTTCAAGTCATCTATTGTAAAATATGTGTTGCTAATCACACAACGTAAAGGCTCACACAGGGTACAGCGATATGACATTTGGTGTCATATTGTGCTGCTCAGCGGCTTCTGAGCAAAGCACTTTTATTATTTATAAGCGCTGACATGTAGTTCAGATATATAATCGAAAGAAACTATGGAAGTAAACGAAGAAAGTGAAATTTCTACAGACGTGGATAAAAACGATATAGTATGCTAGATCCAAGACATTCGCCAATGCCAATTTCATCGGCATTATCCGTCGCAGAATACAACCTAAGGTTGTAAGCACAAAGCCTACCTAACCTATGTGCGCCGCTATCAAAGCCGGAAAGCATTAACCAACTTGCTGGGTCACAGCTAACTGAACGACGGTGAATGACAGTAAGTTAACAAATATGAAACCGAAACGGTTCCAGACGATGAGACGTGCCTTGGCCAAATTTACAGAATAAATATTGGCGTCCCATAAAAAAACGAGTAACGGCGGAACACAAATTTATCGGTATTCTCCCACAATGAACGTGTTTAAACCTCTGTGGTATTCTAGAGACGGAGAAAGTAGTCTGATTCTATACGGATGCATGGGGACTCCTCAATGAGGTGAGCAAACTGGAGGTTAGTCAACCATAAATCAGAATACCTGTAGCTCGGGTGATCTGTTCAGATTTTGTTCTTTTCTCCCAGATGAACAGTTTCGTTGCAAACGTTTCATCACCAATTGTCGTGACTCTTTCAGTGCGTTATCAGTAAACTGAATTGTTTTGCCGATTATTACCAACGAGCAAGTGACATTTGAACTTGCTCACTTCGATGCAGGTCCCGTGACCATTGCTAGTTCCCAGTTCGGGCGCCACCTCTTTCCGACTCATGTGTCAGATGATCCACGTAAACTCTTTTCTCGCAGCTGCCTCTATATCGGATCTAAATCGATGCGTTGGTTTATTGGACTGACTGTAGAAAACCAGGCTTCAAGGAATTCTCTCCCTTTTTCGGTCTTTCCTTGCGCTAGTATCTCCGTTTTCTCCCAATCAAATATGTGCCCTTCTTCATCGACGTGTGTCGAGACCAAGCATGATGGGTAATGGTTTCGACGGGCTCGATTGTGTACTTGTAGCCTTGTAGACAATTTTCTTCCCATTTGGCCCACATAGTTCTTATCACAATTTTTACACTGTATCCTGTAAATAACTTTCCGGCGTTCGTGTGCTCTCGTCTTCCCTTTCGGTCCAGACGGGGTTACTTTCAGTGTTGATGGGTATGGTGAGGCTTGAGGTCTAGCAGTCAGTTCCGATACTTTCTTGATGTATGGTAAAACGATCCGTTTCGTTGTTATGGTTTCAGGTGTGGTGTTTGTACTCTTGTAGTTCATGATTGCTAGACTCCTCAAGCCTCACCATCTGTTATTGACTCACATACCCACCAACACACTGAAAGTAACCCTGTCTAGACCGAAAGGGAAGACGAGAGCACACGAACGTCGGAAAGTTATTTACAGGATACAGTGTAAAAATTGTGATAAGAACTATGTGGGCCAAATGGGAAGAAAATTGTCTACAAGGCTACAAGTACACAATCGAGCCCGTCGAAACCATTACCCATCATGCTTGGTCTCGACACACGTCGATGAAGAAGGGCACATATTTGATTGGGAGAAAACGGAGATACTAGCGCAAGGAAAGACCGAAAAAGGGAGAGAATTCCTTGAAGCCTGGTTTTCTACAGTCAGTCCAGTAAACCAACGCATCGATTTAGATCCGATATAGAGGCAGCTGCGAGAAAAGAGTTTACGTGGATCATCTGGCACATGAGTCGGAAAGAGGTGGCGCCCGAACTGGGAACTAGCAATGGTCACGGGACCTGAATCGAAGTGAGCAAGTTCAAATGTATCAAGACCAAAAATCAGTTCAGGGTTAATAATTCTTTTCGGTAAACTCTCTTCAGACTCAAAAGTTTACAGGACACGGATTATGTGGGGTAAGCATCAAATTGGGCTGGGATTGATTTCTAAGGTGTTTGAAAGGTCAAGATCGATAACTAAAGGTGGCTACAGATGGTAGGAAAAGTGCACCAAAGGAAATTAATACAAGCTTCAGCGGCCTAAATTAAATAGATAAGGTCACAAAGGGTAGTTAAGTAACCATGTCAGTCGGCCACGGTAGTAGTATCGGCCGTATGAATCGTTTATGTTCGCATAATTCCGGCTTCAGATGATGGATGTAAATAGCCTCAGCAATAGATTCGCGAGCACATCCCGGCGTGGTTTTAAAAATGCGAAATGAGGGCCTCAGACAGCTCAATCATGTCGCACCTCCTCGAAAGTGGCCAAACTGCATCTGAGAATGACTTTAAAGTCATCTATTCACTACCTGAACGCTTACCACAAGGCTTCCGAAAGCAAATCTTGTCTATCGCCGAGGCTATTTACATCTATCATCTGAAGCCGGAATTGTGCGTACACAAACAATTCATACGGCCGATACTACTACCGTGGCCGACTGATATGGTTACTTAACTACCCTTGTTGACTTTAGCTATTTACATTAGGCCCTGAAGCTTGTATTAATTTCCTTTGGTGCACTTTTCCTACCATCTGTAGCCACCTTTAGTTATCGATCTTGACCTTTCAAACACCTTAGAAATCAATCCCAGCCCAATTTGATGCTTACCCCACATAACCCGTGTCCTGTAAACGTTTGGGTCTGAAGAGAGTTTACCGAAAAGAATTCTTAACCCTGAATTGATTTCTGTTCTTGCTTCCTCTGATTACAATAGGAATATTTGCTGTGTTGAACATCAACATTGCCCGTGATTCGTAGAAGTTCAAGTGTCACTCGCTCGTCGGTAAGAATCGACAAATCAACTCAGTTTGCTTATAACGTACTGAAGAATTCACCATGATTGGTGATGAAAGCTTTGCAACGAAACTGTTCAGCTCGGAGAACAGAACAAAATCTGAACGGATGTTAGTCAAGTTTCCTGGTCGTTTTATCTCATCGGAATCACTGGAAAGTAGTTCACACTGGAATGACGGACACTGAATTGTCTCCACCGCGCATGTTGCTCATCCAAAACTATAGACTCCTTAAAGAAGGAGGAGAAATTCGTATTACCGGAGCGACCTACATTGCGAGGCAACGGAGGATTTAGGTTTACAGTTCCACGATTCCTTTTACAGCCACGGGCATTTAATAGGCAGAGACAGATAAATTGTTACCATAGTTTACCGCCCCATAAAAACGAAACACCTGAAACAGACTGCCAACTTGTAGCTGTGTTAAGATGCGCTCACATCTTTATCATTAGTGAATTCAACGTGCGTTGTTCAGAAACCACTGTAACCATCGTGGAACAATCCAAAAACGAGCTGCAGGAGCTAGTAACCACTGTTCCAGTTTATAATCACGCCACTTAGTCCATTCGGTTCAGAGCAGGCCAGCAGTAGATTGTGATTACCAACGAAGAGCATATGATTGATGTGATAGTTGTAGAGTGTCCGTTGGGTCACGGTGAACATGCAGTCATTGGTTTCAACATGGCCTGCTATGAAACTAAGAAGTGAGAACTATGAGACAGTGTGAACTATCACACGCTATGATGGATTGACGCAGCTCGTCAACGCCACGACCTGGTCGTTCCTTGTCGAAGAACCTCAGGAAATCGCCTTGCTTGAGTTCGTTAAGAACTTCAGTCACCTGATTACATCTACTTCCGTGCCAAGAGTTTTAGATGGGTATATATGAGTCATTTTCGTCAGCAGCAGGGCTAGAATATGGATGGCAGTGTGCAACGCAACGTGGCCGGCGTATAGATTAGCTCTAATGTCAGAAACTTGGGCAAACTACGTAGTCCAACGTAACCCCTACACTTAACTGCACAGAGAAGACAATGTCGTATATTAGCAGAAACTAGAAACACCTTCAGAGCTAAGCACAAATTACCTTACAAGTACATCAGTTGTCTATGAAAGGTGAGACAATATGTTCCTCCAATTAGGACGGCTGATGGCTCAACAAGAAGAGTTATAGAAGCAGCAAATGCGCTACGGGTGCAATTTGCAACAGCGCTGCTTGGACTAGAAGCAGTTTCATGCAATGCGGATATTAGACTAATAACCCCGCTTCACTAAGGCGGAAGCAAAACTGTGCCCTCCAACTGCTGCCTGGTATCTCTTCATTCTGTGCTATACAAACTTATATAATCCATCCATGTCGATACGCTGGGGTGCAATTTGAAAAATGCAAACTTATTGCTCCCGAGCAGCACGGCTTCGATCGGCAGCGATCGTGTGCAACGAACTTACTATGGGCACGCAATAGTTGAACCGAATCAGTTGACACTGGAAATGAGGTTTAGGTGATTTACTCAAAATTCTCGAAGAAATTCCATCGTATTCAGCATCGGATACTTCTTCCCAAGCTCCAGTATTTCTGGATCGGTGACCCTATTGTAAGCTAGGTCGCTAACTTCCTGCTTCAACGGCAATCAGTGGGCAGAGTTCCGCGCTCTTTATCTGAT